ATAAATTTTTTTTACAATATTTAAATAAATTTTATTTAAATATATGTTAAATTATTTAAATATGTTACATATTAAATATGTTATTATCTTAGAATTAAAACTTTATAAACTTCTATATAAATTATATTATTCATATATTAACACCAACTTTTAATATATAAATTAACTAAGTGAAAATTCTGATTCACTTTTCACATAGACCCTTTTAGAGCTGTTCTGGAACAGCTTGTTTTGCTCAAAATTGATATCGTTTATGTCTAACAATTTATGTTAGCCGAGGAACTCTATAATATCTAGATATCTAAACCACTGATCGTATATTACAAAACTAACGCCACCAAGGTAGTCAATGAAAAACAGATATGTTCTTGTCTAAGGTCTAAAAAACCAATCTAAAATAGCAGCAAGACTTTTATAATACCCCCAGATATTAATATCATAAAACTGTAATTCTGTGTTTAAATACCGCTTTGCTTTTTAAATTATCATATAATATATCTTCAGTTTTATATTAAAAAGATTTAATTATTTTATATTTAATAATTTGTATCAGTTTTATATACACTTACATCTAAGGTTCTTGTTGTGTTATAAGCAGTATAAGTAGTTTTGAGTACAGCAGGTTACTGTTCACATAGTACTAAACTAGTTTCTCTATACTATCTGGTGTAGACTCATAGTGTTTTTTTATGATTGATTTAATAATTTCGATAAGTGTATTCCCTTTCATCAAGAACTTCTGATTTAGATTGAGGGAAAACTAGATATGTTATTGTTATAGTCATTTGCATTATATTCACTATACTAATCTTTAAACTTGCACTTTCAATTCGTCAGCTCACTAAACCAAAGCAGATTAATCTATTTCATCTATACTTTTATACTTTTATGATATACTTCTATCATATGGTACAATATAAAAACTAAAGTAAACTATTTAATTTTAAATTTGGAAATGGAAACGATGAGAAGAATATCTGTACTGTAGTTTCTGCTCAATAATTAGAACTAATAGAAATTAAAAAATGTATTAAAATAAAACGTATATAATATACTAATTTTGATATAAATTGAATGCTGGTAAATTAGAACAATTGGTTTTAATTTCAGTAGAGGCTTACCTTCTGTTATTTTATCTTTTTGTGCATTCTTTAGTTTTTCTTCTTGGGTGCTCAAAATATAGAATTAAATTATTGTTATCAACTTAACATTTCATAACTTAATGAATTGTTCCAAAAGTAGTAAATGTTCTTCCCCCAATTATCTGAGCAATATTTTGACATTTCATAATGACATCACCACAATTACTAACGCCAGAAAAGATTTTTTCAATTCCATAAAAAAGAGATAGCGTTTTTAAGTTATGTTTAAACTTTTTTTCATCCAGAAATTGGAATATTTCGGTATTCAGAACCATCCTTAAAACAGAGTTGTGCTAATTTGTGAGCATCTGCTGTATAACATTTCCCACATAATTTATACTTACATTTTTTATATAAAATACCAGATTATTTGAAAAGGTTTTTTGAAACAGTAGCTTTATTTGTTTTATAGAATTTTATTTTTTTACATATATACAAGAATTTATGGAAAAACATAAATATATAGCACAAAAATATTAGGATTTTTAAAAGTTAAAAATTTAAACTTATAATTATAAATTTATTTCTTCCAAATTGTTATTTTTAAACGATTCATAAGTTTCTTTTAAATGTCTTAATAATTATTGTTTAAAAATTTAAAAATTTCTGAAAACTAAAATATTTAGGGGATTCACAACATCTCGTACTGGTGTCATATTAATTATGACTTGTCACAAATGCATATATATTTTTTGCTGTCTTGAATCTAGAAATCTGTACCATTATTATGACTTATTTAACAAATTTATTAATATTTTTAAATAATAATTTGATTGGCTAATTGATCAATTTAAATACTTGAACTTGAATTTATTATATATATTTAAACAAATTATATTTTATTGAAATATTATTATATTTTTAATAAATGTATCTTTTTAAATAGAACTTTAAATATACGGGCTTCAAATAGATTTTAAAAAGACTTTACTTATATTGATCACCTGGTACAACTTACAACAATTGTTAATATAAGATAAAAGAAATGTAGTATAATGAAATTGTTTATAAATTTATTTATTAATGATATTCACATATTGTGACGATGTTATGAATCGCCCAATTATCGGTATGCATATATGATAAATGTACATTTTAATTTAATTTTATTTATACATATATTTTACATCATATATATACGAGTATGTATTATTTTATAATTGGTTTGAGGTAAAATTTATTTGAAATTGTTATATTAAAAATATTTAACAATGTAACAGTTTATTTACATTAATTAATAGTGTTTTTGTTTTTATTGTTTTAAATAATTTATCACAAGTGATTTTGTGTTCTTAGCTGATTTTATTTACAAAGAATTTGAAATTCAAAGTTACACTAAACTCAATCGATTTATAAAGAAAAGTAATTATTTTTATCTATTATATATTTTATATAGTAAAGTAATTCTTTTAAATTTTTTATTTTATTTTTAGGTTAAAAGAAATTTGATTTAATATTTAATTTATAATATTGTGCATACTCAAAAATTATTTAAAAAAAAAAAAAAATTTTTTATTTTTCTGCTGACATAAAAAACAAATAAAAATAAAAGGGAAATGCAAACTCTAAAGTACAATTCTGCTGCACTTAAAACTTATATAAAAAATTTAATCCTTGAAATTTTCTGGCATTTAACGAAACCCTTTTCAAGAATGTAATCGTTTATAAAAATTTCGCATATAAAATGTACACACATTTCCAACAAGTTACACAGAACGAGGCGCCATAATTGTACGACCACAAATCTACCCGACGGGTCATTTAGAAAGTGTCGTAAAAACAAACCCGGGATCAGAAAAAATTTAAAGTCAATTTGCAAAATTACTTTTATTTTTCTACTCTTGCAAATCGTTGTGGCTCTTTGAAATTGCGCCCATTTGGCCGACTTTTTTTCCCACTTGCCTCACAGTTCATGTATAAGTATTTCATTAAAACGTATTTCGTCACCATTCCGGCATTGGCCTAAATTGGTTCTTCTCTGTGGTTAAATTATTTCAATGTGGTTTTTATCGCATTTGTATTCGAAGCATTCTTCAGTTTCGGTTTCGGTTTCGTTTTAGTATTATTGCATTTGTAATGTATACTAAAAGTGGATATTTTACGCCTCCAATGGGTTTGAATGTTTTATATCTCACTTTAAGAAATTCTTTCAAACAAGTTAAAGAAGAAATTTTTATTGAAATTTTTATAGAAAAAGTAACAAAGCAAAAATGTGTTCATTACAATATAGATATATTTTTCATATACAAATATATATTAAAATATTATATTTAACGGCTAATTTTATTATTAAAATATATAATCTGTGCAAAAGGTAACTGGAGTAATAATTTGAAAGCCTCGAAAAAGAGACTTCAATTATTATTCCGTAAATTGATAGTACTGTATTATGATATAACAAGAGATTTGAGAGTGATCTGTTTCCTAGGTTGATTTCAGCAATCTTTGCTACTCTAATTTTAGGTATTCTTCAATGGTCGAAAGTCATGGTTGTGGGAAAGTTTTGATATGAAAAACAATGAGTTTGAAAAACTAAGCACCGTACGCACCAGAAATGCTCCAAGTTGGATAGTTTTTAATCCAGTAGTTAATAGTAACAGTTCCCTAAGTAACCCCGGCTAATAATGATGATATTAAAATACATATTTTATATCAATTATTGAAATATAAAACATTCAATATAAAACATTTTTCGAAATCAACATAGAAGATTTTTATATAAGTTTATATTAAATTTAAAACTTCACATGTTGAGGAAATCAACAAAAAAAGAATAACATTAAAGGGATCTGTGACTATATAGAGCTCAAAAATTTTTTAAATTGTCAATAAAAGTAAGATAGTTGGTAGAAAGCAGTCTATGTGCTTGGATACCAATATTATATTCGTCAAAAGTTTTAAACCAACTATTTTTAAATAAACTAATCACATTTTAAGAATCCATGACTATAGATAATAATGCATAATTCTTACCAGCACCTCACCGAATAACAGTGGAAGTGTGTGGAGTGATTTCACTGTACAGAACTGTATGGAATATTAATTATGGAGAATAGGCGATACATATTAGAACAAACAAACGAAAATAAATGACAAGAATAAGAGGCAATTACTCACTAGGAACAGATCAACGAAAAAGTGTTGAAGACTATGTCTTACTAGACTACCAAAAATCGATCGACAATTGTCATAACCGCTGATGTAGTCATGCTGCCCTCTGTGGGGTGTACTTTAAAAAAGGTGATAGAATAAATTTTTATTTATTCTTAACTCATTTGTTGTATTTAATGATTTAGAGTTCTTTTTACAGAGTATGCGTATAACATATGTGTATATTAAATGCACGATTAAACAAAAGTTCGCGATGCCTTGATTATAATATAATATTATATTAACTGTAATTTAAACTTTTATATATAAGCAAATCATTTTTAAATAAATATAAAGTGATTACTCTTCAAATGAAATAAATATCAATTTTATTTATATTTGTCGATATGCCGATAATAGTTTAATTCTGTAATTAGTTTTAATATTTTAAACAAATGTCGAAAGTACAACAAGCAAATATCAAATTCTATTAAAACCAACAAAAAATAACGATATATAGCTTAAAATAAAATCAGGACTTTTGCGAATATAAAAATACTACTTAAAATATTAAATTTAAAATATATCAAATTTTTCTCTTGAAGCGATATATTAAATTATTATTTCTATTTTATTGCAATATTGTTTAAAACATATATCCACTAAATTTATTTCTTGATTTAATATAACATATATTCTTGAATTTGTTAAGGACAAATTAATTAATAATTTTTATTATGAAATATACTACTATTTACATGTCTTCTTTACTTTGCTAAATCTTAGTTAAAATATAATTACTCTCTGCTAAATTATTCTGCTAAATCTGTTTCTTTAATATAATATACGTACACAAATATAAATATGAATAAGAAATATATTATAGTATAATTAATAAAGCTATTTTAGTCACCATAACATTTAGGGATACGCATTGAAAAGCCTTATGTACAACCTTACAGCGTCGCCCAATGTATTGTTATTTCAAAAACCTGATGTCATTTGCCCATTTTTAGTTTCCACTAAGTCACAACCTAAAGTGGTATTATTATTTGCTGACAGAACCGGAGTCGTTGATGCACGCTGTATTTCTCGTGCCGGGTAATAAACTATTGGACCCGGTGAAGGTGCGCGACTACGTTTGATTTTCACCACTGCTGGTGAACCAGTTTGTGTTAAACGTACATTTTTTATTGTATTATTTACAGAAGTAGCGCCTAAGTAGGTAGTTGTACTACGCTGGGTGCCATGACGTGAGAAACGCCCCGAGGAACGATGATTTATAGTGCCATCTCCGTTATTGGAAATTGAACTCTCATAGTGTATAAGGTCTGGTTGATCACGACTAAGGCGGCGCTTGAAAAATATTAACAAAAATATACGCTTAAATTTCTCGCCGAATATGACGTAAATGAGAAAGTTGGCACTGCTATTGATGGTCACTAGTAAATTCGATGTTTTCGTCAGCGAATGGTCAATAATATTGTAAAATGCTTCCGAAATGTTTATAACTAAAGCAGGAAAATTAAATAGAAAAAATACAATAACAACACAGAGCAACATAGTAGCTAAGCCAATTTCACGCTTTTCCGAACGGGATAAGCGCTGTCTTTCTCGATTTGCACGCTTCACCTGTCGGTAGATCAAACAATTTAATATAGCCAGTGTTGAGAATGGCACTATATAGTTCACAATAAAATAACACCAATGTATGTAAATATTTATGTATGTTAGATTACGGCGTAGCGCTGAAGGTCGCACACAGTGCAGCACAACTGGGCTGTGTGATGGTTGGTATGTAATTGTTAGCACCTCCCAAAATCTTGAGAAATTATACAGTAGCGAAAAGATAACACAGACAATGAAATAAATTTTAGCACGTCCATAAGTACACAGAGCACGTGCCTTCAGCGGGTGACAAACAGCCACATAACGTTCGAGTGTGACCGTAAACGTCATGTAAATGCTAGCGGTTTGTGCCATCATCGCAATGGGATATATCGCTGGTGATATGAAAGGATATATGTAATTATAGTAAAAGAAAAAATTACCCGTATACGGATAAATGGAGGGTATGCCAAAAAGCAGTATTGAAGTTATAATTAAAACCGTATCACAGCGTGCTAGGCCAATAAGCAGATAATTTATGCTAGAACGCATTTGAGGACGGGATAAAATAATCATGGAAATAATATTGCCTATAATTCCTAAGATACCTACAATATTTAAAACGATACCGCATACCCAAAACTCAATACAATTATTGAGTAAATGTGGATCGTATACCTCGTCACAGGTGGTCGTCCAATTTTCAGAGTAAGGGTACTGAAAGGATATATCTGTATCGTTTATGTAACTGTCATTGAATAGTTTTTCAGTGGTGAACAGCGACTGCCACGTCGTTTCTGATGTTGCTGTCTGTAAGGCAGGTATGAGTGTTGATGCTGCAGCGGACGTGGCATAGTCAAGAAATACTTGTGGAATGTCATGACCAGTTGCGCTGGCAATGAATTCTTGCAAATCTATCGGTGCACTGTCAAAATTGCTAAATGAATCTTTCGCATTAGGTGGTATTTGCTGTGGCAACTGCTCTATTGATTGTAATTTATGCAGAAGAGACGGATAATTTTCACTTGTTGCATTGAACTCAATCATCGGTTTAGGTTTGCAATATTTAGTGAGGTGCGACTTAGAAGTTAATTTTTTAATATAGCTCTTTGTTTCAACAAAGGCTTAGCTTTTGTGTAATATTTCTCATCATATATACTTTAGTTGTCATAGTACTTATGTGCATAGTTTTGGACAGTATTCTTCTTTTCAAATTTAAGTGCCTGTAAATATTTATATTCCAATTAAAGGGTCAATGGAAATTTTTATGTTATCTTAGTCTTGAGCACAAATGTTATAATTATTATTTATTATTACTAATTACTACTAATTATTAGTGTGCTCTATAATGGTACTAACTGTAACTTTGTCTTTTTTATGCAGTATTTTGTCTGTATTTAATTAATTAAATTTACATATCATATTTGTGTAAATAAAATTTTAAAGTTATTTTAGTGTTTGAATTTTACTTCACTTCAAACAATATCACAATAAAGTTAGTAGATTTTAAATTAATTATATGTAATTATATACGTAAGCATTGACATAAATTCAAATTAATTATTTTTACAATATTATACAACTTTTTATTTTGACAAATATTATTTTATTTTTTTTATGTTGTTATATTATTAATGAGTATTATTTATAAGGTATTTATTTTATTTTACAAGTATTTTTAATTATTATAAACTAATATACTTATTTTAATTAAATACAACGTATATCATATTATCACTTTATTTTATAGTATTGTATATTATTTTATTTTATGTTTTTTTAATTTTTTTTATATTGTTATTTTTTATTTAATTTTATATTATTATATATTGTTTCGTTTTATTTTGTTTTTTTTTTTGTCTTATTTGATTTTATTATTTTCTTTTATTTTGCTTAATATAAATTATTTTTATATATTTTTTTTTTTTTTATTATTCTTGTTTTTCTTTTATTTAATTTTGATCTTTCATTATTAAATTTGAATTTAATTTAATTTAATTTATTTGATTTTGTTATATTATTTTACTTCAGTTTTACTTTACTCTATTTATATTTTATTTATTTTTATTGTACTTATTTTAATTATTTCTTTTCTTTAATTTCTTTAATTTAATTTATTCCGCTTTATTTTATTTAATTGTTTTATTATCTTTTTGTTAGAATTAAGTTTACTTTAAATTGTTTTATTTTTTTTATTATAAGCCATTTTATTTTCCTTTATTTTATTTAATTTTATTTTACTTAACGTAATTTTATTTCATATTAAATTATTTTATTTCAATTTACTTTACGGTCTCTTATTTTTATAGTCTATTTTATTATTTTATATTATTTTATTTTAAAAACCGTTTATTTGTTTATTCTGTATTAAATTTTTTTTATTGTTTTGATTATTCTGGTATAAAATTGTTTTACTTCATTTTTTTTTTGTATATAATTCTTTTTAATATTATATAGTTCTTCTTTATAAAACTTATTTTTATATTATTTCTATTTGTTTTGAATTATATTATGTTTTTTATTTATATTTATATAAATAAATATAATTATAAATTATATTAATTAGAAATATAATTTATATATTGAAATGTTTATATTTGTTTTGTATTTGAATTAATTTGGAAAAGGAATATTAAACCAATTAAATCAGTTTACTTTTTTTTAGTTATATAGTTTGGAGAAAACTGGAATTAAATTGAAATTCATGACTTGATTTTCTTTTGAATCTTACTAAGAACTACAAATATTTTTATTCTGTAACCATTAAAATACGCTTTAAATCTTGAGGGATGTTGTTGTTCCCAAATTTCTGACCTCATCATAGGTCACTTTAACTTAAAACAATTCTTTAAAGTGGTTAGGATATTTACCACAGAAAGTTTACAAATTTCTAATTTTTTTTATTAAGTTTGTTATTTTCCTATATATTTGCTTAAGTAAGATTTCCTTTATTTTAAGTGATATTTTGAGGCTATAAAGATTTCACAATTACTTTTATAACTTTAAAGTATAAACCGTAAATCAACAAACTCTAAAATTTTAAGGTTAATTTTCTCGGTAATTTTCGATAACGCTATTTATTTAATAGACGTTGAAATTAAATGCACGAATATCATCCTTAGTCTTCAAATCGTACTATTTGATTATTAATGCTGACAATATCCTTGTGCCAGGACACTCTTGCAATTTTGTTCCGCTTTTTGCTGAATGCTTTCCTTAAAGTTTTACGGTGGGATGGTTTTATCTGTAAAAGAAAAATCTATATTTTAGAACAGTATTGTTATCTTAGTTATCTAATATTAAACATTTAGTGTGAATTAAAGGCATTGGCAGGTCTTATAAAATTCAAATTTAAAATCATTAATATTAAAGACCTACCTAAAAATTAAATAATATTGGTAAATTAATTAAACACTTTAAGTTTCTCAGGTGTAGCTCAAAGATTTTTTTTTTTGGTAAAATTCCCAAAGTTGGGATTCGCATACTAAATTTTACTTGACCATATTTTTTAATTATCTTGCAACCTCATGGCGTAGTCAGTTAATAATATTCTGCAACTCAATAATTTATTTGCTGAAATTGATGTTAAAATTATTATTATTAAAATAGGTATGATGTTACTTCTTTCCGCTTCAAATTTTTTTTACTTCATATCAGAATAAAATCAATAAAATAACTTTAACAACTTCAACAAAAAAATCTCATGACACAAAGTAGCGAAAACATACGTAGGAACTTCATTTTATATTAAACTATATTCAATTACCAAGATGTTTCAATGCGAATTACATTCATATAAAATTAAGACAATTGAGAATTATAAATTCTTTGTGTACACATGAAATCAACTATGATTTATATTAGTGAGAATTATAATATCTCGTTAATAATTCGAATGTATGTTTTATTAACTTTAAGTTTTATATATCCTTCATAATTTTTTTTTTATATATAACTTGAAAAAAAAATTGAAAACCATAAGCAGAGTCAGCAAGTAGCTTGAATTGTAATTGATAATATAATATTACGTTTAAGTTGTCTGTGGTTTAAGTATGTCCATATTTTTATTTATTTATTTTATATTTATATATTTTTATTTATATACGCTTATATAATTTCTGTCATTTATGCAACTAGATTATTTGCTAAGTAGTACATGGTTATCCGTTTTGTGGTTCCAAAAGTAAACACGAATAGAAAAAACACGAGATTGGAATTTTATACTTTTCTTGGTTTCAGTAATTTGTTCAGAGAGATTCAATCCAATAGCATTTGGGTGTGTTTCATGGGTCTTCTTACAGTACTGGATACTTTTTAGGTAATTTTTAGAAATCTCATCAAGAACAGGCAATATATTAGTCATTACTTGACGACTATTCATTGTCGAAAATTTGAGAATTGTCCACATGGACATGGGCTTTTAGGATCTGTTTGACATATAGTTATAAAACGAATACCAAATAATGACATTTCGCTTGCTTTTACTGGTATATGACTCTAAAACAAATTCCGTATAGTGACAAATTATTTGTTTTTGGTAAGTAAAAATGAAAAGAATAATAAGAAATTACTCGTTTTAGAACTATATAATACAAGAAAGCCAAAATTATAATTTGATGGGCTTGTGACACTGACTTGTTGAAGCGACTTTATCATATAGCTGTCCCAATTAATACTGACGGCTTTAATCGCATCTTAATCATTTTCAAAAACTACGTTTTTATTACACCTCCAGAAGAAAGTCGTTTTTGTTTTTTGAAGAATTTAAACTTTTATTTCGAGCGTTATTTTAAGTATATTTCTATATTTAATTTCGGTAAAATCGCTTTTGCCTTCATCAGGAGAATTTCTAATATTCAAAACATCTATGCAACTTAAAAACTATTTATACCTTTTACAGGTTTTATATTCAATTTTAGTGACATAAAATATGATAACGGGATGGATCTGATCTTGTTGTTTTAGTTTATAGTGGTTTTCTGTGGATATAACGTTTTTCGACATTTACTTGTGAATTCTCACTGTCCTAACTGTGACGGTTTTGTGAATTGATATATCCAATAAGCAAAGGATAGACCTTCTCGCTGAAGAAGTTTGAAAATTTATGAAAAATCTTTAATATTTTTGTAGAATGGATTGTTAATTCAGCTGTTGTTAAACAATACAAATTAAAAAAGTCTAGATTGTGTAACAGTTTGATGACGTCACTCAAACATTGTTTCCAAACCAAGGCCATGTTATGAACAATATTTCATATGGAACTAAAAAAGCCTTAGAAAATGTTTTCTCAATTCTAATTCTTACTTAAGTTATGTTACTATTTACTAGGCTTATCCACTACTCTAGGATAAGTGAATATATATTTCTTTAAAAGAATTTATTTAACTCATTACATGATCATGATATATAAATTTTAAGTCGTAAACAAGGTCCAAATTTAATAAAAATTAATAGGAACGATGTGAACAAATTTTTAATTTTTAATTTAAATCAATCTTAACTCATATATATTGCTTAAAAGCTGCACAAATTAGATTCAACCGAAAAAAGTTTTTTTTTCGCAAGAGAGAAATTAACCTTCAAACGTCTTACTTATCCTACTTTTCTGTTCGGTTGAAAAATTCTTCATTAACACCAAAAGTAAATCCAACGAAATTAAATCCCAACAGTATAATTTAATCTATAATGTCAGTAAAAAAGCCAGAAAACATCTAAGATTTCCATAGCTGCAGTCGCATGATAAATTGGTGAATCTTGCTTTCGTTAGCCATTTTATAATTTTTTATATGACTTTTGACTTGTTTCTGGATTGCCGAAAGGAAGAAGAAAATTTGTAAAACATTTTTTATGGTCATTAATTTAAGTGAACAACAAAATCCTTGATTATTTAAAAAGCAATTGGTGAAACTTAAAACATTTACGTATACATGATTGTATATGTACATCACATTTATATACAAACATTTTTCTCCGTTCCATTACACCAGAGCACACAATTGTGGTTTTATGTGTGAAATCATCAGCCAAACTAAAGGAAAGTAAACCAAACCAAACCAAGCCAAGTATAAAATTTTCAAAGTCATTAATAATCCTTGAATCCACAGGATAAGAATTATTCAATGGCTATTGTAGTTGTCATACTGACAATAGAGAAGTGTTTGAAAAGCAGCAAATATGCGGGAATTATATTGGTCATTTATATACATATACCAAGGATACACAATGTGTTTCGAATCGATATGAAATTCTTTTCAAT